AGCAATCTATGATTGGAGTAGAAGGAAGTGAAATAATCATAGAGAGGTTGAATTATACTTAACAAGAGTGTGAGAAAGCTTGATAATCAGCCTTGAATCTCGAATTTGATAGAGGAAGCTTGAGAGAAAAGTGGAGTTGGATCCTTGGTGAAATGAGAGCAAATGAGAGAAGTGAGGAGAGAGGATGGATGTTCCATCTCTTAGAATGTGGGAAATGGCTGGAAATAATGAGAAAGGACTTATGAAGTGACTAGGGATTAGCTGATGGTGAATAGTGACATTGAGTGGGTATGGGAGTGTTTGCTTGTGTCATAAGGTAAAGCAAAGTCAACACTCCACCTTAATTATTCATCCACTAGATTGTATTATTAAATTAAGGATTTTCATGAAAATATGATATAATTATGAATATTTAGCGTTTATTATGTTACAATACGAGTTTGGGTGAAAATCCCGCGTTAACATCTCGAGAAACGAGCTTAAAATGCTAAAAATATCAAAAATGGGTGAAAAGTGTCGCATTTCCGAAGTCTGGCCGAGGTCTCGGCCTCTGATGCTTGGAACTGAGACTAGAAGTGAAGACCGAGAGGTGGAGAGAAGAGACCGAGAGTGCGAGAGGAGAGACCGAGAGTGCGAAGAAGAAGGAACCGAGAGGAGAGACTCGGTCTCGCGAGTTTCGGCCCGAGAGGCTTCTCTTCTCAGTTTCGGACCGAGAGGCTTCTCTTCCCAAGTTCGATCCGAGAGGTTTCTCTTCTCAGATTCGGCTACTGAGTCTCGGCTGCTTAGGGTTTCGGTCCTAAGAGGGGTTTCAGTCCCTAAGAGGACTTTCGGCCCTAAGAGGGGTTTCGGGCCCTTAAGCCTATTTTACTCGATTTTACCCCGTGTCAAGTCGTTTTTGACCCGGTTAAGGGTCGGAATGATCCGAATGACTCCAAAAAGTTACGGAAACTTTTGAGAGAGATTTGGGAGAGATTTCATATTCTTGGAGAGATTTCTCATACAAAGAGAGATTGGGAGAGATTTCACATTCTTGGAGAGATTTCTCATACAAAGAGAGATTTGGGAGAGATTTCACATTCTTGGAGAGATTTCTCATATACAGAGAGATTTGGGAGAGATTTCACATTCTTGGAGAGATTTCTCATACAAAGAGATTTTTGGGAGAGATTTCACATACTTGGAGAGAATTAGGAGAGATTTGACATTCTTGGAGATATTTCTCATACAAAGAGATTTGGGAGAGAGAGATTTCATTTGTGACCTTTTTGAGTGTCCGGCTTCGCAATGCAAGGTCCGTAAACCCTGTTAAGCCTTGTTTAAGGATCTTACACACTCCCGATGAGTATGCAACATTGTTTTATCGGTTTGGCTCGCCACGTCCCACAGTTTTAGGTTAAGGAGATCTAGATGTACACACTTTTCGATTTATGATCTCTTATTAGAATAGCGAGTTGTTTAGAATTTACATAACGTAAACTCTAGTACCCACGGGCAAAATGAGTCGAACGGTTTGACTTGTTGATTTCGGTTGACTTTGACTTGACCGGAAATTGATGGTTGTCACATCAGTTTAGCATGGTTATATGAAACTCAGAACAATATTAACTAAAACATTTGTTTACAGGATTAACACTGCTTCAATGGTTTTATTTTAATTAATAAAACTACAGTACACTACTATATACACTACATCTGATGGTATACATGCATTCATATAAAAGTTTTCTTAAAAACACTACCACTATACACTACAACTGGTGGTATCCAGACATTCATACAAAGGTTTTTCATACAAACACTACTACTATACACTACAGCTAGTGGTATCCAGGCATTCATGTAAAGGTTTTCGTACAAACACTACTACTATACACTACAGTTGGTGGTATCCAAACATTCATACAAAGGTTTTCATACAAACACTACTACTGTACACTATAGCTAGTGGTATCCAGGCATTCATACAAACACTACTACTATACACTACAGTTGGTGGTAACCAGACATTCATACAAATGTTTTCATATAAACACTACTACTATACACTATAGCTGGTAGTATCCAGACATCCATACAAAGGTTTTCATACAAACACTACTACTATACACTACAGTTGGTGGTAAGAAGGCATTCATACAAATGTTTTCATATAAACACTACTACGATACACTACTTTCCTAGTATAGAGTACACTAGTACGACATGCAGTTTAGGGAAAACATACATGATATGGCTTTATTCATTAATAAGACTATATATACTATTACATAATACAGTAAAAACATACACTTTGGTATTAAGGACTAAGAATAATTATCATTACGAAAAAAAATATTGGATTTTCTGGAAGTACACTATAACATTTTCAAGGAACAAAGAAAAACATTCCATCTCAAATACATACTTATGAACTCACCAACTTAAATGTTGATACACTTTCAAAACTAGTTGTATTCTCAGGGAACCGATAGACAGGTGCACCCGCATGTTTTGAGAAGCCGGAGCTTTTAGAGTCGCATCTTTTATACTTTGTTAGACACTTTTGATTTCATGCAAACTATGTATCGAACAAATGTAAATACTTTACTTTATCAATGTAATGGTTGTGTTTGCTTTGATTACTATTATACAATTGTTGTGATACTGTACATGACGTCATCTGCCCCTGAACGTTTCCGCCGTTCTGGTTTGGGGGTGTGACAGGTTCAAACTCATATACTTTGAAGGTTGAACCATGAAGTTGATCACAAAAACAACGTTCCAACGCAAGAAAGAAAGGATTTGTAGTCCCAATGTGTGGATTTTTCTATGGGTTTCATTGTATACAGATGGTAGTCCCAATGTGTGGATTTTTCTATGGGTTTTTTGGTGAAGAAAGAAAGGATTTGTAGGTGTTTTTTTTGGTGATGCCTAAGAGAGGGCGTGAGGCCGAAATTTGTAGGTGTGGGTGTGTTTGGTGTTCGATGGCAATGGTGGTTATGGTTGTCGACGACAATAGTGTTGGTGGCAGTCGATAGCAGTGGTGGTGGACTGAGATCTATTAGTTTTCGATGGAGGTAGATGTGAAGAAACACTAGAGAAGATGAAGTTGGTGATAGAGATGACAACAGGGGCGGGGAATACAGGGGGCCCCAATCCCCATCCCCATCGGGGAATATAAATAAACCCCTATCCCCACCCCCAATGAGGACTGGGGATCCCCAACGGGGAATTGGGGATTTCTTATATTGTTTTAATATGGAAACTTTTACATAAAGAAAAACTCTAAATTTTAATTTTACCAGCATAAGTTTAAAGAATGTACAAAAGTATAAAATATTCATAGATTGCATAATAATATAAACTAATTTTCTACCAAATTTAAATAAATACATGAAAAATAAAGTAAAAAAAAGTTATTATAGTGATACTAATTGCTAATGAGTTATATTACTTGAATTATAACTTATGTATTGTAAATTGAAATGTAAATATATGTTTTGTATTATTTTTATTTATTAATATATATCGTTGGCGGGTCCAGGGTGGAGGATATATATATATATATATATATATATATATATATATATATATATATATATATATATATATATATATATATATATATATATATATATATATAGAGAGAGAGAGAGTCAAGATCAAATAAGAATGAAATTTTTGGTAGGAAGGTAAGAAGTTTTTTTTCTACATATTTTTTTCGCGAACAAATAAAATGAATCATTAGATGATTCATTTGTAAGATGATTCACAAGAAAAAATTCTCAAAAAAAACATCTCGATAATTCATTTATACAATGATTTTGTTGTTATTCACTAAAATTATCATAAAAATGAATTTTTTCTTAATTTACTTAAAAATGAATCATAAAGATGTTTTTTTGGGAATTTTTTCTTGTAAATCATCTTACAAATGAATCATCTAGTGATTCATTTATTTTGTTCGTCAAAAAAATATGTAGAAAAAAACTTCTTACCTTCCTACCAAAATTTTTTTTATTACCGGATCTATATATATATATATATATATATATATATATATATATATAGAGAGAGAGAGAGAGAGAGAGAGAGAGGGAGAGAGAGAGAGAAAGAGGATAATTATTTTCTTTTCTCTTTATTTTTAAATTAAAATAGTATTTGAAAAGTTAAAAAATATATAAAAAAAAAGTAAAAAGTATAACCGTCTTTTCAAGTTTTTTTGGACAAAAATAAAAAAAAACCTTGATTTTGAACCTTAAAGTAAAAAACTTTTTGGATCCTATTCAAAGTTTTTTGAATACCATAGGGACCAATCTTACAGTTTTATCTAATGATTACTTAGGATCGACAATACACTCTATTATTATTTTTACATGTTTTTTATCTATAAAATAATTTCAAACATAACAACCATATACATGTTACAACCTAGTAAAATCTAATAAATAAAAAACATAAATTTAATATTTATACCAATTAATTTCAACATAAAACCTTCATTTAGGTTATAACCCAAAAATCTAAGGTTGTAAATAATGTAAAACGAAACTTGGTGGTAATATCAAACTTCAAGTTTTTTTGAGCATTGACTAGCAATTTCGTTTGTAAGGCGTCAATTTTGTATACAATTAATATTTTTATATGTATTTCAATTATCATTTATATTTATACACATATATAAGTTAAGACAACGTTTTACTAAAATTTGACGGCAGATATAAGCCTTGGAACTTATGGCGAGCTTTTTTAGAGTCTTTGTAAAATCTAATAATTAAAAAACGTCAAATTAATATTTATAGTGATTAATTTAAACATAAAACCTTTATTTAGGGGGTGTTTGGATAGGAAAAAAAAGGTGCTTATCGTTTATTCTCACAATAAGCTAATTTCTCCAGCTTATTTGGTTAAATAAGCTAATTTTAATAAGTATTCATCCCATGCTTATTGCTTATTCTCACCGCAAATAAGGAATAAACAATAAGCCAAAAATCTAATGCAGGTTATCTTATCTGTTTTCTAAGCACCGCCTCCATCCTGAACAATTGTCACAAACCCTAAACCCTGTACTAGGATATCAAAAGACGAAATCTATGGAGGACAGCTTCAAGGTTCGAGTTGATAGGGCATTCGGATCTCTCGAAGCTTCTTCTTCATCTACAATCAAATCAACATCGTCGTCCTTAAGCTCTCTCTGGTGCCTCACCGACGAAGAGATCAAGAGAAACGAATGGATTCAAGATAAAATCACCGTTCACAAAGACAAAGATGAAGAACACATCCACCGTCTCAAAACCCCCAAAATCTATTCTTCCTTTCTACAAGGCCTTCTTGCCGAACCCTCAACTTCTCATCAAGACCTGGAGTCTGACATTCAAGAGCTTGAGGACGAAGAAGACGAAGAACAACAGCCACCGCTGTCGAAACCGGACGATCATAGCAACGACGACTGGAATATTCGATCTTCCGTCGGCATGGACTGCACTCTCGACAACGAGGTATCGATATCACTTTCGTCTTCCTCCTTTTACAGTTATGTTATCAAATTTCTGTTTGTCATTACTCTTCTGAATGATTCCAATCCAATTTGGTTGTATTCAGGAAGAGGAAGATGGTTACGACAAGGTGGCATTAGGCAAGGAAGAATCTACAGATCGTTTTTACATGAGAGACGTGAACGATTATGAAGTCGAGATGGATTCCAACAATGAGCTTCCGGACTCGATCACCGATGTTATCAGGGATCCCCGAGCGAATCACATGGCTGCAAAACTCAGGCTTAAAGAAGACGAAGAATCTGCTAGAAAATTGGGGTTGCAGGTTTCCGAAAACAACGTACAAGAATCAACAACGACGGAGAATCAGATCTCTACACCTTTTGTTCCAGATTATGTACGTAATCCTTCAAAATACACACATTATACCTTTGATTCGATGGATGATGCTGATGAAGAAACAAATAGAAAAGCTTACATGGATTTTTTCAATTTGCTGAAGGGGTCTGGTGGTGGTGGTGACATGGAGATTGAAGATGTTTCCATGGGGTCTCAAACATCAATTGTGTTTACTCCAAGAAAGAAGAAGTTGAGTGATGATACGATGAAGAAAAGCAAGGTAGATGGAGGATACAAGAAAGTTGTTCCTGCTGGTATTGCTGGTGAGGATGTTGAAGACAGTGGGGGGGTTTGTGTGATGGATGAAGATGAGGCTGAAATGGCGATGAATAAGCAGAGAGGTGGTCGGAGGTATAGGACGAAGGCTAGTTCTGATGTTGAATGAGTTTGAGGTATACAGAGTGAATAGAAGTTATAATATGCTACTCTTGGAACTGAGATACAAATCCATTTTCTGCTATTTATGAATTATGAAAGTTGCAAGGATAAAAAAAATATTTAATTTATATTAAAGTTACATTTGATATTTTGATCATTAAGGTGTATTAATTTGTGTTCTGATGACACTCTTAAACCCTTAATGCAAAGTATAAAATAATGACAACCTCAAGTTTGTGCTTTTCCTTCTTGACATATCATTTTTTCACTTAGATTACAAAACTTGACAGAGGAGAACATAACAAAGTTTTCTAAATGTCACAAGAACAAAATATGATATTCACAAACAGACGAAGTCAAATGGGACAAATAGCAAAATCGATTCACAAGAGAAATTAGGAGGAATAAGGTAGCAGTGAATCGATTTGGTGGGTTTATTTTCGAAGTTATGAATTTGCATTAACAGCAACAAAAATAAACCTAACAACGTAATAAAGATTGTTTAGTATAAAAGAAGGGAAAATGATTTAAGAGGGTAACTATCTCTTATCCGTGTTCACATATTGACAACTTCTTTTTTTTTGTACATAATAAAACAACTAACTTGTTTTAACTGTTAAAATTACACTAATATTATCGGTTAATATATGTTTTAACCGGTAACTCAAAGGGAAAATGACTTAGGAGGGTAACTATCTCTTATTCGTGTTCACATATTGGCAATTTCTTATTTTTTTTACATAAGAAAACAATTAACTTGTTTTAACTGTGTAACATCCTAAAAATCATGAACAAAAAATTTGTTTTTAATTTAATACTAAAACCATAATTATCAAACCATTAATTTAATACCCCGGTATCGGGCCCCGTCCGGCATCAGGCCCCGTCTGGCATTGAACGCCACTCGGTATACAAATAGTGTCTCTCTTAGGCCCCGCACACTAAACACATGCAATCATATAACATGCTAACACATAAAGAAACATACTCTACCGTATCCATGTCCTAAGAAACATACTCTGCTAATAATGAGATAAGGAACTTCGTCCGTACTCAACTAGTTCCAGCCAGGGCTTTAGCAGTGCAAGGTGAGTCTCCTCACTGTGTGAATGGGTCTAAAGCCACAATGTCAGCCCATGTAGTCTATGTTATTCCAGACCAAGGTCCGATGTCGGGCGGGTGCCCGATGAATGTTTGCATGCTAAATTATACTTGTTGTCCGTGTGATACTTGTATGTGCCTGGTAAGGAGGTGAGTGTGGGCTAGGTCCCATATCTCATCACTAGCTGGGTACGGATGATGTTTCGTATCTCATTATTAGCAGAGTATGTTTCTTAGGACAGAGATATAGTAGAGTATGTTTCTTTATATGTAGCATGTTATATGATTGTATGTGTTTAGCGGGCGGGGCCCGGAGATAGACGGGGCCTAAGAGAAACAGACTTGTATACCGAGCGAGGCTCGATGCCAGGCGGGCCTGATGCCGGAGTATTAAATTAATGGTTTGACGACGATTATGGTTTTAGTATTAAATTAAAAACGAAACTTTTGGTCATGATTTTTGGGATGTTACACAGTTAAAACAAGTTAGTTGCTTTCTTATGCACAAAAAATAAGAAGTTGCCAACATGTGAATACGGATAAGAGGTAGTTACCATCCTAAGTTATTTTCCCTTTGAGTTATCAGTTAAAAGTGGTATTAACCGGTAATATTGATGTAATTTAAACAGTTAAAACAAGTTACTTGCTTTATTATGTACACAAAAGAGGAAGTTGTCAATATGTGAACACGGATAAAAGATAGTTACTCTCTTAAGTTATTTTCCCATAAAAGAATGGTGTACGGGGATTAGATTTGTTTTTGGGTTTTATTTGATTTTATATATCAGCCGAAACGAGAACAAGAATCACAAAGATTGAAAAATGGGTAGATTAGAAACCAGAATAAGAATAACAATAAATAAAGAGAAAATGACAAAATTAGCCAAATACACTGACTACCTTACAAATTTAGCCAAAAAAAATTAGAAATTGCAAAATTAGCCAGTGATTTCGTAGATGGAATAGCCCCATCTGTGATTTTGGCTTTCCATCTGTGAATGTACAAGTGCTTTTGTACATTCGCAGATGGAAAAGTCCATTTGCGATTTTTACTAGTCATCTGCAATTTTACACAGAAAATTCTATAAAACATTTTTTTCTTCATTTTTCATTCTTCAATACAGAAAAACTCTCTCTCGGGGAATCCTTTTGACGATTTTTTGAAGAAAATGAATGATTATTTAACCAATCCCGCAAATATGGTTAGATTTTAACTCTTTTTATGTTTTAATTAACATTTATTTAGTATATGTCTTTATTATTTAATTATTTATTGTATTAGTTAATGTAAAAAAAATGAAATTATATTGTTTGTGATAGGGTAATTTTGTTGTATTTGATAGTTTTAATATTTGTTATTAATAACTTTAAGTTTAAATGCTATTTTGTTAGTGATTGTATGAATGTACAAGTAAAGACTGCGTAGAGTGTGCATCGGGTGGTTATACATTTAGTAAAATGGTTAGAATATGTTCATTTTTTTAAGTTATTAGTTAAATAAATTGTTAGAATAATGTTTACAATATGTTTTGGTTTGTGGTTTAAGTTGATAAATTGATATTGTTGGATAAGGTGTCTAAGTCCATAACTATTTCTGGTATGTACTTGACCCAACCCGGCATGGTCCATTTGGGTTGCATGGCACCATGCAATTGGATAAACTAAATGAGAGAAATAACGCTTGGAGATTATTAATATATTATAAGTTCTAATATATTAATAATATTATTTGATTAGTTTGATCAAGAATTAATTTAGAATTAATTAAGTGATCAAAAGATAACTAATTAAATATATGGGTTGATTAAGTAAATCATCCATATCTTGTATAGTGGGCTAAAAGGCTCCATGGACCATCAAGTTGGGTTCCACCCATAGGATGCTCCATGGATGCTCCATGGGAGTTACAAACCCATGGGTCATGGAAATGAAGAGTCATGACACATTAGGGTTTAACCCTAGATGTGTCAACACTATATAAGAATATGATCTCCTCCCAAATCGGTTACACTAAGTAATAAGGGGGCTTGGCCGATTTTGAAGAGTGTGTATTCTCTCATAAGTTCTTCCAAGAGCATTTGGTGTTGTGTGAAGCATTTGAGGCATCACCACTTGAGGTGCTAGGCTCACAAGGTTTCAAGGAACACAAGCAACAACAAGGTAAGTTATTCTATCTATACTTTATGTTAAAATTGTTCCCCATGTATGCTAGATAGGATATAACCTTGGAATTCAACTTTGCATGACAAATTAGACAAACATAGATCCAAGGTTATTAGGGTTGCATGTACACTTAGGAAGTGTTAGAATGCTCAAAACCCATCAGTGGTATCAGAGCCTAGGCTTGTTTGTTCTTATTTGTGCTTAAAAGTTGAAAACAGAATCGAAAATTTGCTGTCTGCGATCGGACTCGTCGAGTCTATAGGGGGGACTCGTCGAGTCCATGTGTATCTTCAACCAACTCGGCGAGTCATGTTCATGCACTCGGCGAGTAGGGTCGAATGAGTGCAGAATTTCGATTCAGTTGCTGGAAAATGAATTAGAAACATTACCCTAAACTGTTTTAGTAAATATAAACTTGTTTTTGGTGGTGTAATGTTTTGCTAATTCATTTACAACAACTAGTTATCAAAATTACAAAGTTTTATGTAATTTTTGATTATGTTCATATTCATGTTCTTGTTCTTATGATGTTTTAGATGATCATAGGAATTATTTGTAACCTATTTGGTAGTTTAATTCTTGATCATAATGTGTTTTAATGGAGTCCATAACTTATCCTTAAGTTATGGAAAACCAAGAGTCACTTGAGTTAAAACCATTAAGAAAACACAAGAGTTATAAAAATGAAGAGTCTTCATTTTATGACTCTATTAAACTCATAAGTTACAAGAAATGAAAAGTTTTGAAAGTTACAAAACTTGCCCTCAAGTTTTGGAACAAGTAAAGTTAAGTTAAAACTTTAGTTCCAACCCCTAGAATTTTAAAAGTTAAAATTCAACCCTTATACTTATATTATGATAATTTAATAATTATATATATATGTATAAGAACAAGTCGTCTTACCGCTAGTACGCCTCATTCACGAAGCCGGTCTATAAGGTGGGTATAAGGTTGTTGCCTATAAAATGGTGACTTAATGGGTGTATATTCTCACCCACCGCTTGCTTGACTGGTGGAGGGTCGTTAGCCGAACGGGTAAGACAAGGACTTATAAATTCTCATTCAAAGTATGATGAATATATAAAGTAACTAAATGTTTATTAAATTCCCAATCTTAGTTACTTTAGGAAAAATGTGAATAAGGTGCTAATCCATGAAATTACACTTTACACTTTGTCTGAGTCGTTGGTGGAGCGTGTGTGGTTAACCGGCACACTAACTTGGACTTAACAAGGTAGGTAAAGGGTGACTTAAGGTTTATTATAGTATCGGTGGAGCGTGTGTGGTTTACCGGCACATCGATTGAGTGATAAACTTTAAGGGTACCAAGTGATTTGCATGGTTACTTCACACCTCGTTTTGTGATCCTCGGCATCCCAGTCACAAAACCTGGAGGGCACTCCCGAGATCGAAACATGCCTTTGAAAAGTTCATTGGATCTCAAAGAATCTAGGAATTTCTAAAACCAATAAAAACTAAATATTTAATATTTCGGTTTTCGTGGTGGAAATTGGTGAATCGTCATTCACCTACCTTTCAAATATGGTATAGCTTAGATTACGGCATACCTCTTCTAAGTTATATTATATTGTGATTGGATCCTAGCCTTAATATTACATTTGGGTGTTTTATTAAGGACTCTCTTAAATCTAAACTAAACTTGTTCTTCTTTTCAGATGTCTTCAAAATGCTTCTGGCTCGAATCCTAATGGCTCCTTTACTCTTATGAGTCTATGTGGGAAAGTCACCTTTGATGGATCCAACTTCAATAAGTGGATCAGAAACATCAGGATGATTACCCGCTACGAGGACAAAGAATATGTCCTTGACAAGGAGCTTAAGGAAATTGACGAGTCCACTGCAACTCCCCAGGAGATCGCTGACTTTCATACTCATGAAAGAGATGCAACCAAGGTGGCTTGCATCATGTTAGCCACCATGACAGCTGAACTCCAAAAGTCTTATGAAGACTTCTA